GACTCATATGATAAAAATGAAAAATTTTTTTGGAAAACACATGAGGACACTTGAACAAATGTAGAGTTATACCACATTCCAGAAAGGGAAGGATCATGTGGAAGGATATTATTCTCCCTGAAATTAATACATACAGTTAAAGAAATTTTAATAAAAATCTATAGCCACATCCACATGGATGAATCTTAAAGATATAACTTTGATTAAAAACATTCAAGACGTGAAAAAAACCTTACTCTATGATTCTATTTACATAGAGTTGAAAGACAGGCATAAGCTATATTGTTTGAGTAATTAGTCAATAAAACTATAAAGAAAAACAAGAAAATGAATATGTTAATAATCATGACAGTGGTTATTAACCCTAGGTACTTGGGGGTTATAAGGGAAGGGGCACTTTGGGGCCTTTTGGGATGTTGATAATGTTCTACTTTCTGACCCAGTGGGGGTTACATGAGTGCTTCGGTTATAGTCTTTAAGCAGTACACATCTGTTTAATGAACTATTCTGTGTGTTTGCTGTATTTTCCATCACAAAAAATAATGCTAGAGGCTTCCCTGGTGGTCCAGTGGTTGAGGCTCCACACTTCCACTGCAGAGAGTGTGGAGTGTGGGTTCGATCCCTGGTAAGGGAACTAATATCCCGCATGCCGCGCGGCACAGCCAAAAAAAAAAAAAAAAAAAATTCTAATCTTCTCTTTTTCCCCCATACTTCCTGATTCTTCCTCTACATCTACAGTACCTCATAGAGAAATAAAGATGTTACAGTGACACTAACAATTCAGTCTTTAAAAACAAAACGCTTACAAAGTAGGTTCTTGAGAATAAAAAAAACTGCTGAGAGTGAAACATAGCATTTGAACGTATTTCTCTCCCAACCTTGGCCAGATTAGCTAAAAGAAACCTCTGAACTGGGAGGGGTATATGGAGCATGACACGCATAACACCTTCCCCTGGGAGGGAAGGATGAGGTTTGATAGGAGTGGCAGAAAAAGAGAGCATCGGAATAGGCTGAGCACCATTTCAATGGACAGGGCGGGAGGCCTGGGCTAGGAGCCAGGAAAGCTGTTATCAGACCAGCCCGCCAGGGCTGCCTGCTGCCTACATTTGCATCATACAACAAAGGACACCAGCTCTCCTCTGAACTGCCTGGTGGAGGGCCTAGGACACCTCTGCCATAGATGGTGAAATCTTGGACAACCTGGTACTGTACCATCTTCCTTTCTCCAGTCCTCCCATCCCTAGAGATTTTAGTCTGCAGGGCCCAAGAGTCTATATTTTAATAAGCACTTAGGATAACTCTCATGCAGGGGGCCTCTGGCACTGGAGTACCATTGCCCAGAGAAAATCACTGAGAGGAAGAATCACCGGTGGCACTTGTTAAAAATCCGAATTTTGAGGCTTCATACTAGACATGTATAATCAGAATCTATAGGGGAGAAGCCTGAGAACTTGTTTTCTTCAAAATGAAGTCCCCAGGTAATTTGAAAGGAAGTTTGGGAAACAGCTCTAGAGACTTCTTTTTCTTTCGTTTTTCCACAATATTTATAATATTTGCATTTTGAAAAAATAAGTACCTTGTGGAAAAGAACATATTACAAACCGTAAAATACTTTTTCTCCGGCCCATACTTCTCAGTGCTGCAGACCCATAGATGTTTACATGACATCTCTCCTTGAAGTCCCGAAAACATGAGACTCAACATGTTTGAATTGAAATCATCATCTTCCCCCAAATCCGACTCTCCTTCAGTGTTCCCCACACCTCAGTGAGCATTGTTATCCACCCACTGGGCCTGCCAGAAATCCCATCATTTCTGACTCCTTCCTCTTCCTCAATCCCCACTCATTCCATTCTGCCTAATCTAAATCCATTCCCAAGACCTTCTATTTCACTTCCTAAATCGTTCAATTTTCCGCACTTGTCTCCATCTCCTTGTGCCCATCCCAGTCCACTTGAACTACTTACTACCAATGCTAACCATGACCCATAGATCCTAACTGGTCCAAGCCTGATCATGTTCCCACACTGCACCTGGAGTGATCTTTTCAAAACACAGATCTGATCAGGTCATAACCCTTCCCCACTCTGCTCTGAAGAAAAAGATGAAGGTTCTCAGTATGGCCAACCAAGTTCTGCTTAGTTTGGTCTCCCTGAAAACTATGCTGTAGCCACAATGGCCTCCTTTCAGTCCCTCAGGTTTGCACTGTTCACTCCTGACAAAATACATGATGTTCCCTGTTTCCTTTTCTCCTTTCTTCAGTCTCTCAGCCTTCAGATCTCTCTTCCAGGAGACCTCCTCAAGCATGCCTTACCTAACTTTTCTGACCAGATCAGTGAATGACCCTAATGTAAGCTCTCAGAGCATCTATCTCTTGCAACTTTCATTTATTTATCTAAATAAATGTGGCTCACTTATTTGTTGAATTAGACATTTTTGAATTCCTTTGCCTAGAATAGTTTGTTTCCTTGCTCATCTTCTCTCTTGTTTGATTTCACTTCCTTAGAACCTATTCCAGAACAATTTTTAGGATGAATATTCGGACTCAACTGAAGAACCACATTCATTGGCTTTCCCACATCCCCTCTGGCTCTTGTTGCCTAATCATTTTCCAGTCTTTTGAAATTTGCCTCTACCACAACACTTATTTACCCTATATTGTATTTTTTTGTTGTTGTTTTCTTGAAGGTTTCTCTCACTAGCATCAGTTGCTTTAGGACAGCTGTTTTACTTATCTCTGTATCCCTAGCACTTAACACAGGGTCTTGTCCTCAGTAAATATTTGGAATGACTGTTGTAGCTTGTAGTACAGCCATATAGTGCATATGCTGATTTCTCTGCTTCTAATGTCTTCCCTCACTGTGCCTACAAACTCTTACCACTTGGTAGAGGCAGTGTTAGCATTACCTTCAACGATATATGTATAATTTTTCTACTTTTCAGTTTCTTCATTTGAATACTGATACCTTAAAACGTTGCTGGGAGGATTAAAAAAGTTAATTATTTAATACTCTTCTCTCTCCCCTTGCCAGGCCAAATCTCTTCTCTTGTAGATTACCTAGGGAATTTTGTCTCAGGATTAGGTTTTTGGAATCTCTTGTACCCAGTTAGCTCTTTTCTGTTTCCCTCTCCTGTTTTTGTCCCTTTTACAGTAGATCTTGATGGCTCAATTAAAACTAGAGAAAAGGGACTTCCCTGGTGGCACAGTGGATAAGACTCTGCACTCCCAATGCAGGGGGCCTGGGGTTCGATCCCTGGTCAAGGAACTAGATCTCTCATGCATGCCGCAAATAAGGAGCCTGCATGCTGTAACTAAGGAGGCTGTGAGCCACAACTAAGATCTGGTGTAACCAAATAAATAAATATTAAAAAACCCCAAAAAACTAGAGAATAAATCATTAGCAAGTAGAAAACATTTCTTCCTTGTTCTCTTAGGAAAAGAGATTGTCCTGAGGTGAGGAGATTCATTTGCAAAACTGCACAGGCCTTTTTTTTTTTTTTTAACATATACATGTATCTATTCTTTTTCAAATTCTTTTCATTTAGGTTGTTATATAATATTGAGCAGAGTTCCCTGTGCTATACAGTAGGTCCTTGTTGGTTATCCATTTTAAATATAGCAGTGTGTACATGTCAATCCCAAACTCCCTAGCTATCCCTCCTCCCCCTCTTCCCCCTGGTAACCATTAGTTTGGCCTCTAAGTCTTGCACAGGCCTTTTTAAAAACAAAAAACAAAAAACTTTGAAAAAGCAAAGGCTGAAAAAACAAAATGATTAAATTTGCATACCAGAATAAGTGAAATGTTTCTTTTCATTTTCTTTTAGATTTGTAAAGTGTCTGACCCAGAGTACGAGAAAAAACTTTGGTTCCCTTCCCTTCTTTTCAAGTTTACAAAGCTATAACTAAAGATTCTAGCAGTTAAGCAACTCTACAGTGAATTATCTGGTAGCTTCCAGTATAATAAATTATTCTTACCAACTATGCTCACTTTCTTTTCTTACTTTACCTGTTTGGTTGTCAAAGTTTAAACGTAGCATATTAAAACGATTATACTCTTTAAAAACTATGGACACTTTTCATTATTTTAAAATGTGTATGTAACTAAATAAAATAGAAAAATCCCATGAAAAATGTTTGCACACGGGTAAAATGGGACAAAAGCTTTTGCTGAGGTTTCTCTACCCTTCTCCAACATTACCTTGTGTGGTTCAAGTACCACTTATTATTTAGACTTGTCATTCCCAGTTGACTAGGAGATTTAATACTCTTTAGCCAATGTTTCAAATCTGAGGCAAATAAAACCTAGGTGGTTTATTCGTGGGCCTAGTACCAGGACCTGTGAAGGGAGTGTTCTTAAGAGATAGAAAACTCAGCGTATGTTGTTATCCACAGTTTGAAATCAACATCCTTGGACATTCGACGTTTACCACACAATGGTAAGCGCCCAGATATCAAATGACCCTTTTTGGCGTCCAAGAGTCATAAAAGCCTCAAGCACTCCTGGAGTCTAGGCTGAATTTCTCCACTGGCTTGTTTGGGAACCCGTCTCTTCTAAGCGGTGTAGCATTAACTTGCTCTGCTGTCGGCTGGATGACAGCTGGTCGGGCACTCTTCAGGGCGGACTCCTTTCCAGGTGCATCCATCTCCACCCAAGCGCACTCTTCTCTCCCGCGGCGGTCTAGGACCATCAGGACCAATTTCGGTGTTTTCTTTCGCCTGTAAGACTTGGCAGAACGGGCTCTAAAAGAAAAGAAGGAGGCAGAGGAGGAGTAAGTAAGAGTCATAATAAATGACAGTGCACCTGTGAGACGCGAAGACGAGCACCCTATTTTGCCGCAGAAGCCACAGGGACAGAAGTCCTCGGGCCAACCGCCGGCCTCGCCCCCCCCCAGCTGCCCGCCCCGGTTACGTGACGGGGGAGCGCCGCGCGCCGACTGCGGCGCCGATTGGCCGGCGGCGGGAGCGCGGGGTTTGATGGGAGGTTGGCTGAGCCCATCGTTCTGTTAGTGGCGGCTGCTACCTGCTCCGGACGCGGGTTGCGCTGTGGCGGCCGAAGCTGGCAGAGCTGGGCGCCAGCGCCGGGCTTTGCCCGCTTCTACTTGAAGGTAGAGGGGTCAAAATGAGGGCCGTTGGAAGGGGTCCGC